AAGTCATTTAGAAAACCAAATATAATTGGAACAATAGCAAATATTGCTTAAGTCACAGCATACACATTAACAATCCAAGAATATAAAATGTTCTTATATAAGTGTATAGCTTTAGTACGTTCCAAAATAGTATAGTATCCTGTAGGATATCCCTTAAGTCTAAGAACATTTTGTAATCTCACTACCATACGTAGTTGTTAAGTCACAATTGCAGGAATTGCATCCCATCCTTGAATAATGACTCACGTTAGGTTATTAAGAAAGAAGACTCCCGAGTGGTTCGTTTGAAGTGCTGTGCACCACAAAAGTATTTAAATTAGGGAAGGTTCAAATGGTTTCCCTGTTTTGGTATGGGCGATGACTATCATTAAAATGAAGTGAAGAATATGATACCCATTCATCCAGATTTGGATGATAATAGAGTATTACAATCCTGTATTTGACGAATGATTTTATAACATTCTACTATTTACATAAATTATATTTTGGTTAAGGCATATCCAGATAAACTCAAACAAAATTCGTAGTTAGCTACTTAACATCGGCAGTTTCCGCCAAATCCTTATAGATTTCCATTTGTATTTCTTGGAAAGATTTTCCTTTTGTTTCGGGTATGAAGAAGACGGTAAAGAAAATACCTAAAACACTGCATGTGCCGAACAACCAAAAGTTACCATACAATCCCCAAAATTCGTTCAGCGGTTCGTAGGTCATTTGAACAAGTACAGCGATAGGAGTCAGTAAGGCTCCAACCGTTCCTATCGCAATGCCTTTGACATTCATCGGATACAGTTCGGAAATAATGACTTGCGGCACCGGACTAATGCCAATGGTAATCGATATTTGAAAGACGACTAGAATAGTCAATGGTAACCACGATACGGGTGCCATATTAAATGATTTTGTTTCGTTAATGTAAAAGTACGCCCCGAGAACAAACATGGATATCGCACTGAAGATGCAGGAAATAATTAGCAGAGGCTTCCTACCCCATCGATCCACCACTTGACCAGAAATGAGTACTAAAATTTAAATTTGTTTGATACGTGTGTATTATTTAGTAAATTGACAAATTAAAACCACTTACCACAAATAATGCTAGCTATTCCGAAAATCAAACTTGAAAGATTTGATGATATTGTGCTTTCGGCTGCGTTGAGTATTGTTTGCAAATACGATCCTATGATTGCGATACCGGACATGTAATAGACAAGATTTAAACCTAAAATGAAAAGATTAATGGTGACACTAATATATTAATTGTGAAATACATTAAACCATACTGTAACAAGCGTTTGAAATCACACTCAAAATCTTTACATGAAGGCTCTGTAAGTAGGAACAGGACGTAGGAGTTTTGGCTTCTATCGAAAAGTTGTGTAATTTATCCCTTTATTGTGCTTTAGCTTAACGGGAATATTCATTGAATCTAAATTAGACGATATAGAGCAGTTATGGGTCTGGAGAAGCAACGTGTCACCGCTACTTTATAATCTATACATTTTGAAGACGCGATCAATATTATTAAAGACACGAAAACTGTAAGGGTAGATATACAGGAGCAAAAGATTAGTATGCTTAGATTTGCAGATGAGATAGCAGTATTAGCATCTAGCAAGGAGGAGTTAGAGAAAGCATTAAATAAAATGGAAGCGGTATTGACAAAACACTACTGTATGAAAATAAATAAAAATAAAACAAAAATACTGGTATGCAAGGGAAGAAAAAGTAGGGGAAGAGCAAATATAAAGATAGGAGACGAAAAATTAGAAGAAGTGGCCAATTTTAGGTATCTAGGAAGTCAGATAAGTCAGGACGGNGATACCAGACATGTAATAGACAAGATTTAAGCCTAAAATGAAAAGATTAATGGTGACACTAATATATTAATTGTGAAATACACTAAACCATACTGTAACAAGCGTTTGAAATCACACTCAAAATCTTTACATGAAGGCTCTGTAAGTAGGAACAGGACGTAGGAGTTTTGGCTTCTATCGAAAAGTTGTGTAATTTATCCCTTTATTGTGCTTTAGCTTAACGGGAATATTCATTGAATCTAAATTAGACGATATAGAGCAGTTATGGGTCTGGAGAAGCAACGTGTCACCGCTACTTTATAATCTATACATTTTGAAGACGCGATCAATATTATTAAAGACACGAAAACTGTAAGGGTAGATATACAGGAGCAAAAGATTAGTATGCTTAGATTTGCAGATGAGATAGCAGTATTAGCATCTAGCAAGGAGGAGTTAGAGAAAGCATTAAATAAAATGGAAGCGGTATTGACAAAACACTACTGTATGAAAATAAATAAAAATAAAACAAAAATACTGGTATGCAAGGGAAGAAAAAGTAGGGGAAGAGCAAATATAAAGATAGGAGACGAAAAATTAGAAGAAGTGGCCAATTTTAGGTATCTAGGAAGTCAGATAAGTCAAGAAGGATATAAAGCAGAGGATAGCGCAGGGTCGAGTAGCCTTCAATAAAAAGAAGTCACTTCTATGCTCGCGAACGGTTAAGGAAAAGGTTAGAAATGAAGAAATATTAAAATGAACAAAAGAATAGAGGACTCCATGGAAGTCAATAGGAAGTAGGCGAGATAGGTTGGTACACTTCGTTTAGTTTCTGTAGCGATGTGACCTTCAGTTTGACCGGCGCAAAGTAGAAAAGAACAGCACTAGGCCAGAAAAGAATAATCCGTACAGTACTGTAAGGAATATTTGATCATTTTATCCACTACAATTGCATTGCTCAAATGTGCTGTTATTGGTACCAATTACTACTGAAAATATCAACGAGATATTGAAGACATATTAAAGGCTTTAACGCTTGTTTTCGACTCGCACTATTATTCATGATTGAACGAAAGTTTTGGCAGGTACTGCATGAAAAAGTATGCTTAATGAACAAGAGTCGAGAGTATAATGAGCTTTTTTCTCCCTACCTATGATTTTGCCAGCGCGTATCCAAGACATTGGAAGGGGGATATCGCAGAGAAAGTAAATTAAGTATAGTACACCTTCTAAGGCATGAAGGGCTAGTCAGAGACATATTAGAGGCAGAAACTGAAGCTAACTGTAGTTAAGGATGTGGAAATGTTCTAGATTTGGAGAAATGCGAAGATTATCTCACGATAGCAAAGGGTGGAGGTGTGTGTCCAACCAGTCTTATTGTTAGTACTGATGACCTTATGATGATGATAAATTACACATTTGTATGTCGACATTTTTACCCTTTTAGGTAGACTAAGCGAAAACCGTTATTAAAAAAAATCGGTTTTCTGTAAAGTCGGTTTACTGACGATAGTTGAACGTGACAACGTCATAAGAAAATACTGATGGAATGGTTTCATTTTTCAAAAGAAAATTTTAATTTTATTTGTTTGACAGATATTTTGTATGGATATAGAGAAGGAGGTAAATG